TTTGATATCCAAAGTCATGGCCTTGAAATTCGTGAAGACGTTCACAACCAAGTGGATCAAGAGTTTTGGCACCATCATCATCGACGTGGGAGCGAACGTTTGTTCAAGATCTATGGAAGATCTGAACTGTCTTGCCACTAGGCACGCTCGCCTAAACCATCCTCCCATCTCCAGACGATGCTTCCAGCAGTACACTTCTTTCGTGGAAATGATGTAGCCCTCGGTCCTTGTGACCTCATCTTCATTTGTCTCGATCATGGCCGGCATTTCCACCATCCTCTGGATCTCCTTCTCTCGAGCCTGCTTGTCCAGTTCAGCCAATCTTTCTTCTGTCACCACTGGTGGATCATCATCTTCTTCGCCCCCCATAGATGAATTCCTCTTCGACTTCACCAGGGATGAGGTTCCACTCCACTTCATCATCTCCGTGGACCTCCATGTTCACTGCATTGACACCTGCATACCCTGCTGGATAGAGGTGTTCCTTGTTGGAGGGTGATCCCCGTGGCGAACTCTCTGGCATTCGCACATCAGTTGAGGAGTCATCAACCTTCTGTTTCTTCTCCTGCTCCTCACTTCCGTCATGTGCCTCTCTTTTCTCATGCGCCCTTCTTGGTGAAGCACTGTCATCGATCCTCTTTGCTTCTTGCTCATCTTCACCTTCCTCCAATGTCCTCCTCACTCCAACTTGTGGAATTTGAGGTGCCGGGGTACCCGGCGCTGGTGTTCCAGGGGCCGCTTGTCCAACTACTGGCGTCCTTGGTGCTGAGGGTGTGGGTCCAATCAGACCAGATGCCACGTCGGCTGCAATCTCCTTCATCTCGTTCTCCTCTGCTTCAACCTCTAAGGTAGGAATTCTCGTCCTCTGTGTGTCACCAGCGTGCCTCATGAGAATGCCTTTGAGGAGAATACGACCATGGTCGGCCTTTTGCTATCACCATGTCCGTGGCAATGAAATTCTCACCAGCTGCCAATCTGCGGATTGTGCGTGCCTCAAATGCTCCGTCAGGAGTCAGGACCACATGGCTGTCATTCCGCTTTCCTGCCCAAATGCCCCGCTCGAACACGTTGTTCCCTTTGTACTTCACCATCTTCTTGGAGAGAACACTCTCACCGAACAAAGCAAGTTTGCCGTGATATCCATGGCCAGTTGCCAGCTCGAAGCTCGTCTTGTTGCACTTCTCCAAGACTCTGAACCTGTTGAGCAGAAATGAGGCATACCTGAAGCTCCATGGATACAGGTGGACTGAACCCAAGATCCTCATGCGAGCTCGATCTTCTGGCAAAGTCCGCAGGCAGTTGGCTAACTTCCTCACTGTCTGCACTGCTCGCTCCACCTGTCCATTTGATGCATGCTGCCCAGTTCCTGTCATCCGAATTTCTGTCTTCAAGCCCATCACGCTTCGAACTTGTTGTACAGATCTCAAGATTTGACGTGTGGCTCTCTCTGGGTCAGCCTGAAAGATCACAGGGTCATACGCTGAGTTCTCAAGAGCGAATCTGGCGACTTCCTCCGTGATCGTCTTGAGGCTGCTAGCTGTACCTTTGGAAGGAACCGGTACTGCATGGATGGCTTTCGTCTCTCAGCTTGTCAGGATCAAGCACGTGCCAAACTGGTCTTGCCTTTCCTGGACTTTTCCCAACGTGGGCTCGTCACCTCGCTGGTCCTCTCCAGTGTAGGTGTAACAGAAGTCCATCTGGATCAGGTTCTTGCCCTGGTCTTCCTGCTCTTCTCTGTTCACACGCTTGTCCTCCTTCGCCCGACTTGCCACGCAAGCCTGGCACCATCCAGCATAGGGCATGTGCGTGATGAAGTGTCTCTCTTGTTCCGCCAAACTTGGAAGCTTCGGTTGTCCAATGGTCATTGGAATCCTCTGCTGCTCCTTGTAGATCTTGTTTGCAATTGACAATTGCATCTGTGTCTCGATGTTGATCTTGAAGTTCATCAACCTCTCAAGGAGTCTCTTCTTGCTTCCAGTGTACGGCAGGTTTCTCTCCTTGCATGCCATCTGGAGATCTTTCACTGAAGTCTTCTCTGAGAACATTGTTTCATCCAATTCCACCTCATGAGGATGCTTCGCAATGACAAGCTTCTCAATGTCTTGATTCTCCACCTGTTGCTCCAGGTCTTCGATCTCCTCCGCATCATCTTCAGACCATTCAACAGATTGGATTGCCCTCTGAGTCATGCTCCCAGTAGTCTTTGAATCTACTTGGTGCAAAGAAGTTCAACGTCCTCTCTGGCTCATCATTGATGCCAATCTTCCTGAACATCTCAGATCCTCCAGCATTGATGTCATCAACCTTCTCCAGTTGTGTCCATTGGCCGTTCTTTTCCTTCACCAAGGTCATTCTCGACTTGTAGGCCTTTTAAACGCTGTCTTTGGGATCCGCAAGGCGAAGAGCAATGGGGTCACTGTAAACGACTACTCCATTAGGTAACCTGCACCATCCTGGAGCCATCTCAAGCTCTTGTACATACTTGCTCACAAATCCAGTCAGCGCAAAGATCCTGGCAGTAGAGTTCGAAGTGGATCGCATTGGGCTCGTTGTGGTCGAAACTCCTGTCACTGTAAAGATCCTCGCTGCCAGTTGCAAAGAATTGCGCTCTGTGTTCACTGGCACTTCAATGCCCTTCTCTTCATGCCTCAGTTCCAGAGGTCCTCCATCAGTTTTCTGCAAACTCCAACCTCTGCGCAGCAACTTCCCAGCACATAATATTGGATGTTGGACGTTCCCCAGCACAAAGTCTTCAAGCAATTCGAAGATCTTGCCATTCTTGTCTTCGATACGGATGCGGGCTTTTGTCACTCCATCATGGGCGATCTTCTTCCCTTGGGCGTCCACCATCTTGAGTTCCATGGACTCTTGCTGTCGCTGACCTACGGCTGCATAGCTGCGAGGAAGAACTGACACATCAGCTCCACTGTCCAGAGTCACTAGACATTGGTCTGACTCATCCTCCTCGATCTTCACCATGTTGACCTGCAGCTCTTCCTCTTCGCTGTCCTGCAGGTCTAGTGCCACGATGCTCACTCCAAGTGGCAGGCGTGGCCTCATCACCTGCGGCACGAGTGGGCAACATCAAGGAATTTGAGCTGTCCCATCTTGTCGAAATTGCTTCCAGCTGAATGATCCGGTCTTTCAGCTGCTCATATGTTGTGGTGTTTGTGATCCACAAGTGCAAGTGCTGTCTGATTTGCATCGGACATGCCAATAGCACTGCGGCAACCTTCGCATCATCACTGTAGGTGTGACCTGAGATGCGCTCGTACTCGTTGATGAGGGACTCATATTGTGGTAGCTGTTCTGCCACCGTCTTCCCTTCAGCAAACTGCACTCCTGAGAGTTGGCTCAACAAGGCCAAGGACCTAGCTCTTGTCGCAGGTTGGAGTTCCCGCAATAGGATCTGCCAAGCTGCAAAGCCGTTCTCTCTCTTGACGTGCTTTCAATGGCCTTTGCCGCAAATAGGATGTCAGCAAACTGTATAGCCGAACCAACCTTCCTTTCGTCTCATCCGTCATGTCATCCAGCTCATAACTGGCGTCAAGGTCCCTCTCGACATGGTCCATGTCATTCGCCATGGTGGGGTCAATCCCTTTGATGTAGTTGAGAAATGCAAATTTCCAATCTCCCCACAACTTCAGCTCATTGTCACGTGTCTGGCGAAAACACATCAGGAGGTTTGAGATGTCGTGCCCAGCCTTGTGTGGTCTGATTGACCGTCAGCCGCTCCAGTGCATTTGCAACCAGCCTCAAGCTCTCCTCAGCCATTGGACCGATTGTCCAAATCTTTGGATAGTACGACTTTGTGGTGCAAGAGGGCTCGATGCTCTCCTCCGGGCTGAACTCCAGTCCACTATAGACCAGCAACTCCCAGAAACACCCATTCGACAAAAGCTCACAGATCTTCTCCTGGGGCGTCTCCTGCCTCAAGTTCTCGATCTTTGACATGAACTTCCACTTTGATGGAACCACCACCAAAATCTCCTTCAAGTCGGCGCTCAACCTTCCGTTTCTCCTCTTCTGGAAGACAATTGAGGCTCTGGCTGCTTTGTCGCTCTTTACCCACCGAACTCTAGTGAGGTACTCAGCAGTCTCGAAGGTGACCGTGTGGAATTGCCTCCTCTTGAGCTTTCCGGCTTTTGGGATCACACGGTTCGCCTGGAAGTAGTTGATCTCCTGGATCGCTGTGGTACCGACACCGCCTGCTAGCCCAGCGAGCACGATGAGTTCCACCAACCAAATGCCGGTCGCTGAAGGCCTGGCTCGTCTGCTCCTCGTTGAGGATGTCGTGGTGATCGTAGTGCTCGTGGTGCGTGTCGTGTGCGGAAGCGCGGCTCAGTACGGCCAGCGCTCCGCTACCATGAAATGGCGCGGGCGAGACTTTTCCACCTGAAAATGGGGTCTTGTGCCGAGATCCGTCGACCAGCGGGAAAGTGTCTGAGTGACCGTGGGCTCATGTATGTGGAATCTCTTCATGACTTGACATTTTTGGATATGGTCCAAGCTGGGTGTGAGGCCCGTGGGGGCTGTGGAACGGCGAGCCCGTGGGGCCCGCTGATGCAGACCGGGAAGTTCGGAAGTTCAGTCCGTGGTGGACCGTTTGAGTTCTAGGGCGCAAACCTAATTGTTAGGACAAATTACTAGTTTCGATACTACATTTATATATACACCGAACTTGGAAATCGTCTGACCATCAGTAAGGTGTTTGTTGGTTTGTTGCGCTACACGCATAGTATGACATCTAACCACAAGCACAATAACCACGGGCAAGTTTTGGCAAAAAATGCATCCAACCTGTTTGCTTTTGGGTCTGGAGTTGCCCGCCCGGCCTGTCAAACAACAGAATCTTCTTAACATTGCGTAAACAACAGGCCGAAAATTACAACTCAAAAAAATTGAGCAAAGCCATGCCAAGAGTCACGGGTTCGGGTTTGAGACCAGGTGATTTGAGATCACTCTACGTGTTTTTCCTCCGCATGCTGCTGGCGAGCGGCCACCTTTGCGGCCAAGGGGTACGCCCCGGGCGCGTCAGGGAAGACCGACCCGGCTGGGCTGCGTGCTTTCCGCGACCGGGAACACAAGGTCGCTGAGGAGCAGTGGGTCACAACTCGATTTTTCGATCAGGTTTCCAGGACAACGCACGCAGCAGTGCCGCTGGTATCAAGCGCGAAGGCTGCACAAATTTGACCAGTGTTTTCCAAGGCGAAGTGGCCATTCTGCGGGGACGTCCTTTTGCTCAACCAAGTGTTCCAAAACTAAGCCACACACAGTTTTTCGGTATATATTCTATCGGACGGGTAACAAATGATTTTTAAAACCATAGAAACCGTGTGGATGAACACGTGACGGGCTCTAAATTTTGTTGTCCGCGGACCTGAACAAAGTAACGGTTACCAGGTTTGAGTGGGAAGCGCTCGCGGCTACACATGCAATATTGTTCGGTATTGCTGCGCAAACAAGACCACATATCAGCTTTAATTCCACAATACATGCCAAAGCTTATAGCGGGAACACCCCCCCCCAAAAAACTAATAAAAATCTGACAAACTCACCATCGCCTGTGATCATCTAAAAGCACGGACGCCAGAAACCACGCAAAACACAACTATAACACACTACAACAATCATAGCCAATGCAACCCAACGCAACTTCCAATCATTCCCACAACGTGAAATGGCGAACTTGCATAAACTATCACCTGCGCATGTTCATCAAAGTGGGCACAAGAAAAACTGAAACCAAAACCAAACAAAACATACAAGGAGAATACAACTATAACAGCCGCAGCCATGGCAGGCCCATGGAACTTCCCACCGCCACAACGCAGAAGGACAACCGCCCCGCATCCGGAAGCGGGGTCACTTCAGAACACAAGTTTTAGTTCACTTTGGAACACAGGGTTTTAGTTCGCTTTGGAACACAAAACATGGGTCATTTTGGAACACAAAACACCCAAAAACATGGAAGGGTTAGCAAAAAACGAGATCACTTTGGAACACAACGCACCTGATTCTTTGGTTCACTTTAGACCACACACACACAGACACAGATGGGGAGGGTTTAAGGATGAAGGATGGGGTGGGGTGGGGGGATGGGGTGGGGTGGAAGTGCTGAAAGGGTTTCCAGATTGGACAAGGTCAACATCTTCACACACACACACACGTTTTGATGGCCTCCAACCTACTAGCTCTGACACGCGTTCCGAAGCGATACCGTTCCCGCGTTCCGAAGCGAACTATTTTCTGCGTTCCGAAGCGACTCCCTCGCCCCCGCATCCTCCGCTGAGCCCTTGCTATATGACAGCGCGGACACCAAAAAATTAAGCCACAGCGGGGACAAAGAAAAAACACTATGACAACGACAGCCCCTCACCACCATACCTCTGAAGCCTGTGGCCTCATCCGCGGGGCCCGAGAGTGGGGCCCGTGGGCTCGGTGAGCCTGTGACGGTTGAGCCCGTGGACAGCCCGGGCAGGCGCGACCCTCATTCTGGGCAGTAGTTTGTCAAGCTTACTTGTCGTCAAATTGCGCGCGAGCAAGCAAAAAAGAAACAACTCAAACACAGGAAACCCGATATGCGGTGCAGGGCGGAGACGGTCCTTCGAACAACCCAAGACAGACAAGAGACACGAGCACTTCAAATTTGAAGGGACTTGGGCGATCAGCTGAAACGAACGGGGCGCCGGCGTACCAAGACTTTAGTTTTAGTTGGAACTCTACATCCACATGTTTGCACTCTAAATAATCTCCAATGTCTCGCCTTCCCGACAACCTGCAAGCCTCTCATACGAACCCCCTGCAGCTTGATGGCAATCCAGACATGGCCTCGCGGGCAAAAAAAGTCCAATGTATTCTACACAACTCCCTGTTTGTAAAACAAGCACACCACCGACGCCCCCCACTGTTCTATCGGAACCCTCCCAAGCCACAGCTGTGAAAACTGCCCTAAAGCCCACGTCGGCTCGTTGTCGGGGTGCACACACACTTAGATTGAGGCTCGCAAGAAACGACCTGGAACCTGGAAACCGGCCTTATTAAGGGCCAAGAACAACTTGTGCACACTGCTTTGCATCACCGGTCTCCGAGCAGGTACACGAATGGACGTCTCCATCCGCTTCCCCTCCAGCGATTTATCTTCGTTGGACAAGGTTCATCCCTGGAGGCCTTGCCCCCTGCCCCGAATAGAAGCCATTAAAAATGTTTCAACACTCGAATTATCTTGCACGGAAACGTGTCCTTTGGCAAAGCCGAGGAGGCACATTTCTTTTTCGCGGGAACAGGAAATTGGTGGAGGAAGGGGTGGGAGTGCGTTGACTAAACGAGCCTGAATACGCCCAAACAAGCCTGAAAGAAAGAACAACACAAACGAAAAAGGCAAGGCAAGAAAAAAAATGCATGTTTGAGTTTGACACTTTCAGTGTCTCGCATGGAATTTGTTTGGAAGCAGGAATGCCTCATGGCCTTTTGTGCTTAACTTTGGCTGCGAGTGTTTTCGCTTTGCTTGTGTGCTGTTGCGCGTGTTTCATTTTTTGTGTTTAGAACGTTTTGTAGTCTATTTACTTGAGGTAGTAAGTTTTTCAGGTGGCAGCAACTCGGAGAACGAGCTGAGAAGGTCCAGGCCAACGTTTGGTCACAAAGCAAGCAGAGGCAGCACAGGAAAGGCAATTTGTCCGTGTCAAAAAGTCGTTTGTCTGGCTGTAACTGTCTGTCTGACAGGTTCCGAGAGGAGCACGTGAGGGAAAGGTCACCTGCAAGCAGGCAAAAAGCAGAGCATTGCACCATTGGGCCCCCACAAGGTTGAAGTGGAAAAGGCGCAAAAGGAAAAAAGGAACAGGGAGAAGCGCCGGCTCCATATGTGTCCCCTAAGGTGCCGCCGGTCCCGCCAGAGCACCAGCACCTCAACAGGTTGTCCAGCCAGGTTTTTCAGAACCTCAGTCTCACAACAGCTCGAGCCCATTGGTCAGAGGTTGACAGGTCTGGAGGCGAGGTTGCTGAGTCAGGATTTGAGTGGTGGAAAAAGGTGGATTAGGTGGAAGTGTGCCGATTCAGGCTTTGTCGCCAAGCATCTCGTCAGGCTCCTTTCAAAATAGAATTTCCCAAGAACTTGCCAACCCCACCGCCAGCTCCAAGATTCATCGAGTCAACTACGAGAGGCGAGAGAGCTGCAGAGAGCGCAGCTGCCGAGAGCCGTAGCGATGATAAGGGGCGGGACGCCTTTAGTAGATCGGAGAAGTGGTTGCCACCAATGCCACAGTGCGAGTTCGACAAGTGGAAAAATAGACATGACAAAATTCTTCGCTTCGCAGCGTACGTGTCCCAGCTGAAGGCCTGGACGGCGTTGGGTAGCGACGCATTCTCCTTCGAGACCGGGCAGTCGATCAGTTGGAGCACAGAGATCTACATGTCTAACTTGAAGCCCCTACAGCAAGTCCGTGCAAGTCGGTTGCTGGCCATGCTCCAAAGCACGTTCGCTGCTTTGGAGTGCATGTGATCATCCAGTCGTATGTTGAAGGTGTGTTTGTCAGTGGGGAGTACATGTCTGCCAGAGGTACTGTGGTTTTGAAGCTTTAAGGTTGCTTGCGCGTGAGTTCTCGTCGCACGTTTAGGGCAACAGGGAATAGTTTTGGAACCCGTCACTTGGTCCATCACCAGGACCGTGATGTCGAACTGAGTCGTTATCGTCGTCTTGTGGAAACGTTGCCGCTAGCTGTGTAGCGTGATCGTCTTGAGACTGCCGCCAGTGACTTGAGTTTAATGCTCTTGCGGAGTCTTCCGAGAGAATGTCAGGTCCTATGTCATGTTACACTCAACAGGGGAATCATATGGAGATTTTGAATGGGGAATGCGAAGGAGGCGAGGAGACAGAAGAAGTCAATGCCTTAGGTTCTGAGCCCCCGGAGGAACGAAAATGTTTCAAGTGTGGCCAGGAGGGTCATCTGAGCGCGAACTGTCCGGAGTGCAAGAAGCAGGATGGATCACTTTCACCCACGGGCTCGCCGAAAGGCAAGCGGAAGAAGCGACAGGGCAAGGATAAAGGGACTGGGAAACATTGGCGATTGGAAGCGCTTCCCACCCTTTGCTACTCGAGACATCCAAGGGCGTCTTGCGCACCTGCTTTGGCTTTGCCGAAGGCGTGAAAAATTGGGCCTCATTCTGTCTCCTTGAATCATGCTGGCTTGGAAAAGCTGCTCTCCCGGAAGCGAGGCGACCTGACAGGGGCCTCAAGGTGCTGCAAACTGAGAGACACCCTTGTTCAAAGGTCGGCCTAGCCCAGCTAGTGAGCCATGGGGTGTGCAGTTTGACCGCCTCTAGCTGATGTGTGCTCTTCTCACTTCTCACCAGCGGAAACGCTTCGGCTGTGAACCACAACCAATGTGAAGCCAGTTCCTTCTGGTCGGATGTGAAGCATGTTCGCATGCCGCTAGGAACTTCAAGTCCCTGCCACTCAAGCACTATGGCATGTCCAAGCATGCCATAATGCTTGAGAATCTGAGAAAAGGGGAATCATGACCCAACACTCATCCAAAATTAAGACAGACCACAAAATGCGAAGAATGGGTTTGCACGAGTCGAGGCGCTGTGTGTGCAGGTTATGCACAAGTCACCTTAAGCTAGTAGATTGAGATACGAACCAGGCAGCAAGCAGAAACCAGAACACCAAAACCCCCCAAAACAACAAACAAAACAACCAAACAAAACCCCAAAAACAAACAAGCAAAACCGCCAAAACCACACCACAGCACGGCACGGTTCATATCTCAGGATGGCCGAGTCAGCCAGAAAAGCGGTGAAACAATACACGGCCTGGGGCAACGAATTCTTACCTGACGCTCAGTAAGTCATCTTCAGGTTATTGTTCTTCATTTGCCCTCGTTGCCTCGACGAAGTTTGACAGCCTTTTGATTGTCAATACAGTTTTCGCTTCAAATGTGAGGGCTGATGCACATTTGGAAGTCAGCTGACTCAAAATTGTCTGCCATAAAGGGCATCCACACAGCATCATTCCAGCATCAAACCACGATCCCGTGCTCACGTTTGCGAAGAGTGAGGCCTCCACGGGACATTCCGACCCTAGGAAAACAGCTGGATGAGCGATCGAAAACTACAAAAAATTGTTGATGTGGTAAGGGAAGACAGCGAGACTGGTGAGCATGACGGAGACAGGTCGAAACCCCAGGCCCCCGCCTGCCTCTGCACGCTCTAATTCGTCTTCCAGGTGTTGACACAGT